TGAGTAAAATTTCTATATTGTATGCATCATTGTACAAATTCATAGTCATATCTTATATTTATTTGTATAATTTAAACAATATTTATAAATCCCAGGCCCTGAAGCTGATCTCAATAAAGATCGAAATATGGGCACGATGAAGAAAACGTTTTTCTAAACCTACATCTCACCAGACCACATCTCACGATCTCTAAATAATCATTAATTAACATTACATGCTACATATGTGTATGTAATGTTGTGGAATTTAATTAATTATCTGTTCAAAACCAATTTTGTTGGTAAGCACCGTGAAATGCTTAGAACATCCAAATCAGGAAAACTTGGTACAAAATGTACACCACTCAGGAGAAAGTTGGATAAAGCAATATTACAGTGTAATTTGGTCATAAATGATCATTTTGGTTTGCCTTTCCTTGCTGGGTCGGTCTATGAGATGCATAGCGACACACCATCTTCAGTGTGCATGTGTGATTTCTGTTACAGGCAGAACAAAACGATATGTTACAACTGAATTACACTGTAACAACATATATGTGTTTTAGTGGACATATTAACAAAAGTAATTATTTTAATCAATTTATTGTTTTTTTTTACGGTTGAGTTGAAAAATTACACTGTAATATTGCTTTATCCATGCTACGTTCTTCTGAGTCGATCACATTTTAGACTGAATGTTTGACAGTGCTTGCCAACAAAATTTGTTTTTATTAGAAAATTAAGACAATTGCACCACACTTTACATAATACAATGAAACGTCTCGCTAAAGAAGTCATCGTGTCACTCCTTTCGTCCTCTTTTGAGAAGTGATCTCTAAAGAAAGAATTTTTTGATAAACTCATAATATAGTCTGTATATTAGTATGTGAGGTGTAGATTTAGAAGTACATTTTCAATGGTTTCACAATCTTCTAAAATTTCCGTAGGTCTCCCGAACTTTCCTTTAAAATCAGTCATTTCTTTTAAAGTCAACCTTTGGCTGGTCAGAGCCATTTAAAAATTAGAAATTTGAACTTAAACTGAAAATCATGAAATTAAAAATATCAGAAAGAAAATAAGATTGAACGTGTAGATGAAAAGTGAACAAATTCTTGGAAACACTTCAATTCAATTAATATATTTTAAACAAAATTCAACTCTTTAATACTCGGAGATCATTTATACTACCTTAAAGTCAAATTCATTATTTTTCTAATCAATTTACAATTCTGTGAGACATTTAACCGTGTATAAGTCAAATACAACCTTTAACAAATCAAATCCACCTGTTTGCAAGTCAAATTTATAATTTTCTTAAGTCATGTACGATTCTGTGAGACATTAAACTATGTGTAAGTTAAATACATTTTCTTCCTGATTTTAAGCAATAAATCTCTACCCGGTGCTTGCCCCTTTCCGTATTCTTTAGGGCAGATCATCCACCAGGTCCCGCACCTAGGTCTATTGCGAATACCATCATCCTAGCCAGGGACTGTTGCATATTTTGCTCACCAGTCGGATTCATTGGGCGAATGGCTAAAAAGCTGCGATCGCTGTCCCTATGAGTACAGTCTGTGGAGAATGAAGACCTCAGCACTGTTAGTTAGAGGGTAAGGAGCATTAATGGGAGGTGTTTGATCGTGAGTTCACTAAGTGTCGTCTTAGTATACTCATATATGTCACTCTTGCCCCCACTACTACACCCACTGCTTTAAATAAATTTTTGTGGTGTAGCTCTGTGAGGGTTTTCCTCAATACCCTACATTTTTGCGCTTTGAGGTCTACCATCCATTCCACGCCACCGCAAGGTCTAAGATGAATACACCATCCAGTAAGCAGTGAGGAGTTTCGATGGCAACCTGTTTGTCCCAAGCCATGGATTCACATAGTTCCCCCCCAACCCTTGGGCATGTACACCAGTATCGTTTAAACGAAGTTATCACAATTGGGAGATTGATTAATTTAGATGGTAAGAATGTAAGATTGAAATAAAAATGGACAAAGGACTCAAGGTGACTATTGATTGATATACTTAGCACTGAAGATGGCCCAATGAAAAAAATATTTTGATTAGAAAACACACCAACATAAAAATATTAGTAATTTTTTTCTAATTTATTAATTATTATGACATGTTAATAAAATGACATCCTTGTTTAATGCATTTCCTTCTTAGGTGAATTAACAAGTAATTTTAAATTGTTGTTTAGTAACCACTTCTTTATAAGTGAATTTCCTTGTTTTTATCTTTCACTTTATAGTCTTGCCAGTGTGGTAGTTCATTGGGAAAATGCTTTGAAACATTAAAATCGTTCTTATGATCTCAATTTTGTATTTTAGATACTTACATCACTCTGATTTCTTAGGCTATATGGCAAAATGAAGTGTGTAAAATTGAATTTTTATTTTATTTTGTTTTTTATTAGATTGGCTTACGGCATTGATTCGAAATACTATGAGGCTGAAAAGATGCCAAAAATTAAACACAGCAAACCGGGACTTCTGTCCATGGTCAACTGCGGAAACAATATGTAAGTCCTCAAGTTTTATTTACAATTTGTAATAATTAAAATAATTAATTTATAATGCCCGTTTTAGGCTTGGATCACAGTTTTTTGTTACACTAGGAGCTGATCTCCAATCCTTAGAAGAACATTGTGTTTTTGCTGAAGTCACTGAAGGCCATGACATACTTGTTAAATTAAATGATGCTATCTGTGATAACCAGCACAGACCATACCAGGATATAAGGTAACTCAATAATATTAAACAATTATAAAATTTGATTTATAGTTTGTGATAATAATTGATTTTTACGTCTAGAATCACTCATACTGTAATATTAGACGATCCGTTTGAAGATTTACCTGGTTTGGTTGTTCCTTTGGGCTCCCCTGATATATCTCAGCTTCAAGAATTTGTAAGTTTATAATTTATATTGTCCTCACCTCATTTGTTTTGTTTCAAATGTTTAAAAGTGTCTCGAACTTTCAGAACGGTAGGATTGGAGCAGATGAAAAAATAAACGACGAGGAAGGACTGACGGAGGCTCAGTTGCAGGAGATAAAAGCCGACAGAGAAGCAAAAGCTAGGGCCACCATCCTTGAAATCGTCGGCGATTTGCCAGACGCCGATATCGCTCCTCCTGAGAATGTTTTATTTGTATGCAAGTTAAATCCTGTAACAGATGACTCTGATCTGGAGATTATCTTCAGTAGATTTGGAAAGATCAAAAGGTACATCTTATTTTCATATTAATCAATTGAGTTTATAACCGTTATGTAATATTTTTAGTTGTGAAGTAATCAGAGATCACACAACCGGTGATTCGCTTCAGTATGCGTTTGTGGAATTTGAAGATCAAAGAGCCTGTGAACAAGCATACTTAAAAATGGATAATGTTTTAATTGATGACAGGCGTATCCATGTTGATTTTAGCCAGAGTGTCTCTAAGATAAAATGGAGGGGTAAAGGAAGAGGTGTTGAGATTCTAGATAAGGTAATTTAATTTAATTGTTTTATGTACATCTGTTGGTTAATGTGCAATTACATTTTAGATCGATGAGAAGGAAATTGGTCGTGGTGGCGATCGATATGGAAGTAAACGAGATTATTATAGGGACAGAGAAAGGGACAGAGATAGAGAAAGGAGTGACAGAAGGAGGGAAGACGATAGAAGAAGGAGAGGTGACAGAGAATCCGATGAATACAGGAGAAGGGATAGAAGGAAAGACGATGGTCGAAGAAGAGACGAGGAAATGTGGAGGGATGATGATAGATACGAGGAGGACAGGAAGCGAAGAGAATCAAGAGATGACAGACGAAGAGAAGACAGAAGGTATGACAATAGTAGGCGAGATGAAAGAAGGAGGGAAGACGATCGAAGAAGGGATTCGGAAAAAAAGCGTAATGGAACCTCAGATAGAAGAGAAAAAGATGTGAAGCGTGATGAAGTGAATTCTTCTGGAAGTAAAGAAGACAGGTCAAGAGAAGGCCATAGTAAGTACTATGACCACCATGAAATGAAACCTGAGCCAAAATCGGAAGTCAAAACATCTAAAGAGAAAGCACCCTCCAAGAAGCCCGAAGAGCCTGAAATGATGGATGTTACAAAAGAAAAGTCAAATTACAAGGACACACCACCAATAAATAACATTAATCATACTCCAGACGTTCGACAAGATGATACAGGATTTACTGAAAATGATGTAGCACACAATGCATCACAAAGTCCTATTAAAACGGACGCTACTAAGTCAGTCAGTATCGAAAGAAAAAAGAAAAGGCGAAGGCATGTTAGTTCTTCTTCAGGAAGTTCAAGCAGTGAGAGCAGCATTTCGTCTAGCAGTTCTACTTCAATGGAACGGACAAAACGGTCAAAAAGGTCTCTTACTGTGGCAAAGAAATATTACCACCGGGGAAAACTCGTCAAGGTAGTTAAAAAGAAGAAAAATAAATCTTCAGATTCTGAGAGTTTTTCCGAAAGTTCAGACTCAGACAGGCGAAGACGAAAGCCTAAATATAAAAAAATTGTCAAAGTAATTAAAAAAAGGCGGCATGCCAGCTCAGACGATAGTGAAAGCGATTCTTCCAGTTCAGACGATTCTGAGGATGCAAGCCGAAGAAGAAAAAGGAAGAAAAAACACGATAAGTACAACAGGAAAAGGAGGAAGGACAGTTCAAAAAGGAGTAAAAAGAAAAAGGCTCATGATTCTGAAAACTCTTCAAACTCGGAAAGTGAAGGTAAAAATAGAAAGAAGAATAAAACACTATCTATTTCTAAGAAAAACAAAGCAGATTTGAGTGATTGACATAAAAGGGATTACTAAATTTTCTATACTCATTTTTGAGTGGGACAACATTTTAGCATTAAATGGTATTTGATCAATGCCATTGTTTTTATTACATAATGAAATGCATTTTGAAATATAATAAATCTATTTTAATCCCCAATACAAGTTACAGACAATTTTTTTTAATGTTAAATCCCAAAAAATCTTTAGTCCACCGACTGATCTGACATGTTCTATTATAAATTTTACTGATGGGTAATAAACAGATTAAAATTTTAATTGTATTCTTTTTGTCAGAACACACCATGCTTAGCTAGTTCCAAGTAGGCATATGCCATTTTCTGGTTTATTAAATTTTTTTTTAAAGAATAAGAATTTGGCAGCTATTATAAAGAAGAAAGGATAATTTTAGTTTGTCATTCTAATAATAATTCTAAATTTAAAAACTTTGTGGGGCATGGCAATGAACCTGCAGCTTCATCATTTCATGTCATCCTCCTTTGTCGGTTTTGTCTGACAGATAGTTTGGTCTCAGCGTTTTGTCACATCACAAGAATAACTTATCTGTAAAGAAGTTACAAAAAAAAAAAAAAAAATTAGAAACAATGCTAAACCTGCAATTATCACGAGTTGTGCAAAACTGTGGGTTCTCTATTAAAAAATAATCTGACAAAATAATGATACTCTAGTTTGCAGACTGTTTTTATTTATTTATTTTTGTCAAATTTATCACCGTTTTTTTAACACATTGACGGTGCCGGGGGAAAAGCGTTACCTTTTTCTAGGGCGGGAACTTTTTTTTACTAATCGGTTTATACAATATTTACCTTGGTATGAACATATGAAGTTTTTTTAAATATTTTAAATTTAAATAAAAAACTAGTGTCATAGTGTATTCGGTGGTAGCATCAGAATAGAGATTCATTATGCAACCCCGTACAACACAATAAATGCCTTATACAAACTTGTACTATTTATTCCAGTTTTGACTGATAGTTTTTGCTTTTTACAACTTATATTCGTGGTTATAATCTAAAATAAATCAATTATATTAACCAAGCTCAAAAAGTCAAAATAAATTTTATTGGCACAGAATGTAAAGCTTTTTACAATCCAAATATCTCGGTCGTATTTTCTTTTCAAATGTTTCCCTTTTGAATGTAAAATAAAAATATATTTTAAAAAATCCCAGAATAAGTATGTAATTTTTTTTACAAAGCCTTCAAACGTTTCTCTTCTTAAGCCCTCCCCCAAACTCCTACGAACAAACTGCACAACTGAGGCTGTTGTGCCAACAATTGTATAGTGTATGGTGTTGTTTGGGTGCTGTGCAACTAGTTGCAGAAGTTCAAAACTGCACGAGTGGCATTCTGCAACTGTACTAGAGCAGTACCATTAAAACAAGACAAAAGCAACTGGTGTTTGCAAAAAAATGCTTATAGTGTATGGGGGACTTTGTTTGCACAAGCCTGTTGTACAACGTACGTTTGCACAATTTGATCGTAGGTGTATGGGGGAAGGGCTTTAGACTTAAATTAAAAAAACAAACATTATATTTAAACTAAATCCATTATAAAAAGAACAAACATTAACAAAACGTTTTCTAGAATATGTTTGTTAAATGTTTTACAAAGCCAAACCACACATAAAACTAAAATGTTTGCATATTTGATAGTTTCCGTATCCGAAATATTTTCATAATTTGCAACATAATAAATCACAAAACATATAAATATTGAAAAATAATATTGAATTATTGTTTTACCTCTTTTTTTTTTTTTTTTTAATAATTGCTGAAAGCATACAAATGGCATTCGATCTCGGCAGATTGGTATCCAGAGTGATTCTTCTACACGAGTGCAAAACCACAAATGCCTATATTGAAGTTAAGTGTTTCTGTGCCCTTCCAAACACACTATGCTACGCGGTGAATTGGCTACGGCAGTAGCGTAAGGGAAGGGACTCTCTCTACTGTAGCATTAGCAGTCAACGTGTTAGCACATTTTACTTTCAAATCATGTTAAAAATATTGTAAGTTAACAGGCTCTGCCACGAGGAACCAGAGGCATCGGCATATATCCTTTTCGAACGTAAAGCATTAGCCTGTTTACAGTACAGCCACTTCGGTAGGACATTTCTTTTACCCAAGGAAATCCACAAAGAGGCACCGAGGAAAGTGCTCAAGTTTTATAAGGAATAGTGCACTTTTCAATTTGTGGCTATAAGCTATAGGGATTCCACAATAGAGCAGTGGAGGAAATAAATAATTGTATTCTGCATCAAACCCCCCCCCCAAAAAAAAAAAAAAAAAAAAAAAAATATATATATATATATATATAATAGACACACACATTAACTTATGAAATTTTCTTCTCGAAGGTGGGATAATAGGTCATCTAAAAAAAAATAACCAGTTTTTCTTTTAATCAACAACGTTCCGGATTTATTTTAATCCTTCCTCAGGTGAGTTAACGCAGTGGTTAGAACAGTGGTCGTCAGTCATTAACATTTTGTAACAGTTTATTTTAAAAAAGAGCCAGTGTGGTACATATTTAAGTCTTTCAGACTCCGAACAAACATTTTAATATTTTGAACCTGGCTAGGTTTTTTTTGACTAGGTTCTATCTTCTTCATCATAACCAATTTTTATTGGTTTGGTGGAATGTTTACTTAAAGAATATAATGAAAGAAATATATCAATTGTTTTATAGGCATTTTTATTGATGGGTAATCTTATGGTTTTTTCCTATCAGTAATAACAGTTTTACCATTTACATTTATATTTTTTCTTATTGTCATTATTATTTTGTATACTAATAACTATAATATTTTATTTTAATTTTATAATATTTAAAAAAAATGTGTATCAGCAAATACACAATACACAGATGTACAACTTTCCACAAAACTACAAATATTTCAGTCGTATCGTATTTCCTTTTCAAATGTTCCCCTTTTCAACATAAAATAAAAATATAGACAACAAAATTTCCAGAATAAGTATGTAAATTTTTATAGAGCTTTCTTCAAAGTTTGTCTTCTTAGACTTAAATTGTATTAAAAAATGTATTTAAAAAAAACACACTTAAACTAAATCCATTATAAAAATAACCAAATACTTTGATTAAATCTAAAATTTCTTTATTTTGAACATCATTGTATAAATTCATAGTCATATCGTATATGTATTTGTACAGTTTAAATCAATTATAAATCCCAGGCCTCAATAAAGATTAAAACGTTGGCATTATAAAGAAAATGACACATCACACCAGACCGCATCTCACAATCTCTAAATAATCATTACTTAATGGTCACTAAATATTACACATTGCTATTATTAATAAATAAAATTAGTAAATTTTACAATTTTTTTATGATTATAAAATTAAATAATAAAACTTAAAGACTTTTAAAATAAATTTCAGAAAAAATTAGTAAGCAATTTTGTTACTTGATTCAATCCACCTGCAATGCTTTCCATCTCACTCTGTACTTCATTGAAGATGGAAAAGTCAAGCAAGCAAAGTTTTCTAAACCGATGCGAAAATTGTATATTGTGGTGTGAATATTCTTGTTGTGTACTATTGCCAGAAGCAAGTTTGTTCTTTGACTTTGTCAGTTTTCGAATAATTGCGGGCTTGGTGTTAATCGAGAAAGCACTGGGTGGGAGAATCCGTGTAACCGCCATTGCCGTTCGCCCTTGCAGAAGCGAGAGTGTGCAACAGTCTGTGCAGAGACGTGGTCTTGTTTGTTTCCCCGCCGGGTTTTTTTTTGTTTCAAAGCAACAATCTTTACCCCCACATTCAAAACCACCTTCGCATTTGTGAGTGTGTGACCTGTGCTACTGAAATGTCCGACGAAATGAACAACCACAACGGAGTCGAGAACGGCGACGTCCCGGAGATCGAATTGATCATTAAGGTACACAAAAAAAAATATTCTTTACAAAATCTGGGCGTGAACGGTTTTTTTTTACTTTCTACCTGTACTGTCGCGAAAACTTTGACTTTTTGACCTTGCCCTTTGTCGGTTGGAAAGTCAGAAGAGCACCCATTTCTAAGTTGCAAAGCATGAATTTCTCGTTTCACTCCTACGTCCTTTGGCCTTTGATCAAAGCGTTTCTTTTCCTACCTGTACGACCGTTCGTTTCATAAGAATTTTAATTTGTACAAAACGTGTTTATCCTGTCTAAATTAATCGAGACTCGAGTGTTTTGTTGTCTTTGATATCGCAAAAAAAATATTTGCCATTATCATACTGTCCTTAATTATTTCAGATTAAAGTTAGCTTGTTCGATTTATATTCGCATTGCTAAACCAAAAAGTAAGGTGTAAAAATTTCAAAAAACCTTTCCCTCTCACTGGCGGAATGATGGCTATCTTTAAGATCAGACAACTTAACACTATTTAAGTTGTGCCACAGTTGAACATGATTCGAAAAACTTTTCCGGTAAAATTTTTCCCCACTGTGTGACCGGAACCGTCTCCCGGTGTCACGTACGTGCCAGTTTGTCCGAATCAGCAGGAAAAACGGATTCGTTTATCGTTGGCGTTCTTTTTCTGCAATCTTTCCGTTTTTCTTGCTTTTATGCTTTGTCGTTTTTTCATTTTCCTGGCAGTGGGCATGGTAGGAATTGTTTTTTTCCGAAATATGGGCGTGACCTGTGTACCTCGACCTTGTAGGTGAGCCTTTAAGATGAACAGGGCGAAGATGATCGGTGAAGATGAAGTGTGGACGTGCAAGAGACCTAAAGGTCTAATTCCCTTGAAACCTGATCTTAAAAACTTTAAAACAAAATTATTCAAAGACCTAGAATCTTTACTAAGTCCATTAGGCCTTCTACAATATTCCAAAATCAGTAAAAGTTGACATCTCATTGGGATTTCAACCAGAAATCGTTCGTTTCAGATGAACCAGAAGTTTAATTGCGGTGACTTAGTCATAACAGCCGATGATTTTATGTGTGAAGATAACCGTCATGCGTGAAAGTATAGGCTTGAACTTATCCGGTTTTCATTTATGATTTAGCAAGTGACACTTGTACTTTCCTTGCATTGCCGTAAATTCGCCTACATCAGTGAACAGACTGTACATTCCTATGTGTGCTTTCATCCGATGCAAATTTAATTTATTCACTTTAGACGAAGTTAAACACGGTTTCAAAGATAATAGATGCACCAGACTGTAAAACTATTTTAAGATTGAAGTTGGTACTATATTTTACTGATATATTAAAGAAGAAGAATCAGTATGATAATCTTCACTAAATAAAAGACTTATCTTGGTTAAAACTTTAGTAAAACTAGCACAGAAGATGGCGAGAAACCGAAACTCGGATTATAGACCAACATGATAGGAAACAACCAAACTAAGAGCAAAATACCACATGATAGTCATAGAGCAATAGGTTCTATAGTCACTTCGCACAAAGCGACCAAAGTGCAGGTGGATCACCCTACAGACTCCAGGAGGAATACGCGATACTTCATTTAAGAGCTTGTGTGTTTTTCACTTTTCCCTGGTTGACAAAGATACACACTTTCACCTGTGAAGTAGAGTTCAGCAGTCGAGATGGTAAATATGTCTCGTAATCCTTTGAAAAATCCACACATACTGGTTTTATTAATTGACTGATGAAAGGAAAAGAACAAACTAAAAGCAAAATATACCTATATTGATGGACACAGTGCATTAGGTCCTATAGTTACTTCGCACAGAGCTACCTACGACCAAAGTGCAGGTGGATCACCCCACATACTCCAGGAGAAATAGGAGATACTTCTTTTAAGAGCTTGTGTGTTTTTCACTTTTCCCTGTTTGACGAAGGTACACACTTTCACCTGTGAAGTAGAGTTCAGCAGTCGAGATGGTAATCCTTGGAAAAATCTACACATACTGTTTTATTACATATAATTAACTGATGATCGGAAAGGCCAAATTAAGAGCAAAATAGATCTATTTCGATGGACACGGTCCAATAGCTATAGCCATCTCATTCTCCTAGTTCAAAGTAAATTCATCACCCAGGAGTTAAATCTGCAATATTTTGGGGGATGTCATTCTCGATTTAAGAGCTTCTTTTCCATAGTCAACTTTTCAATGGTTGACATAGGTACATATTTTTATCTATGGAGTATAGTTCATCAATCGAGATAGTAAATCTGTCTCGTGTTCTTTTATGTGTTTATTAACATTACAATGCGTCTTTTTCATATAACTCATTGAGTCTGAAGTCTGTCAAGACACCAGTTTCCGTCCTTCGACCCTTTTATGCATTTCGAAATTTCTTTCTTTTCACATCGATAGATCTCCCTTTTCCTTGGTAGTCACAGACATTATAGCTGATTCTTTGTGTAGTCAGCGGTGTGTCAGCTTGGAAAAATTCGTTTGTTTCATTTCCTTCTTGGGTGCTCGGAAACCCAGTTAAGTTTGGTCAATTCAAAATCATCTTCGACCCCATGACGTTCAATGTCCTGATGGCATAAATCTTGTTGGAGTATCTTTTTCATTGACGCGAGCTAAGGTTGCAAGTTGAGTTCCGAGTATTAGATTTTAGGACCCTTAAGCATTATTTCTTTCTAATGTACTTTATATTACTTGTCTGGAGGCGGTTTGAACATCCTTACTCTTGGAACCAAAGGTATTTCATAATTATTCCATCACGATTCTTTCATTAATAATTAATATAGTCGGCTTTGAAACTAACTGCGTGTAAAGAAGTCCAAATAAATAACCGAATGGCAATGCACGCCACTATTTTAATTCAGCATCGGGTGAATTGTAAGTATTGCCCGTGTTCACTGGTGGTGACGAACCGTGTCGCCTGGAAGGACCGTTGCCAAACGATTGATTGCAAGAATGCAAATCACAAGTTTGAAAAAAGAATCAGGTTTTAAAGGGAAATAGAAGAAGGAAAGTTGTTAGGTGAAGCATGGATCGCAGGCATTATCTTTCGAAAAAGTTTAAAAAATGGAGAAAGTAAAAAAAAAAATTATATTATCAATTTAAATCATGAGCCTTGGTTTTTGTGACAAATTGCAATAGGCATTACTATTCCATTCGCATAAGGTCATATGTAAAACTGTACGCCAGGCGTGTAATCACAAAAGACGATAAAACAAAATTAAAGGCTTGCGAAAAAATAGTTGGGGGAAAATAATTGAACGTTCATTCATTGATTATACGAATAAAACTTTTTTTCATAATGTTTCATAAGTCGAGCCTTTTCAAGTATCCATACAGATTCAAGATTTTGCGTTGACCCTCCGGGGAAAGCAGGGAAACTAGTGAAAGGAAGATTTTTAATTCATATCACACTGAACCTTCACCAGCCAATTTTATGCTGAAATCATAGTTTTCGAGTTACGATTCAGAAATTAATCTCTGTAACAACTAGAAGCCTTTTAATTCTGGCCATGCGGATAAATAAAAAAGGTTTAAAGCATGGTGAGTTTGTTTATTAACGCTTTGATGATCAAAACTATGAAATGAAAAACAAAATATATTTTTTTAATATTAAAAAGATAATAAATGTAAAAGTATTGCATAAAACTGAATGATCGGAATAATTAAATTAATTCTCTCGTCATTTTTTCTCATAGTAGATATAAGAGTTTCAAACATTGCAAAAATAACGTTTCATAAATGCTCATAAACCCAAGTTCTTTTCTATCGAATGTTTTCATTTAAAGGCGTTTCATTTTAAACACGGAATTTTTAAAACTAATTTGTCTTATTTAAATTTTTTGGTTTATGTTAGAAAACATTTCCATATTTTTTTGTTAATGAAAAATAAAAAATGAAATACCTTACTTCTTTTCATTTATTTGGCGTTTCGGGATTTTACAAAAGAAGATGCTGAATGTGAGTAAATTCCCGAACCTTCCAAATAAATGAAAATAAATAAGTTTGTATTTAAAAAAAAACACATGGAAATATTTTCTAACATAATCAAAAAACAATAAATTCTTATTTCCCTCCAATCTACATTTGGAACAGCTTCTGTAGAAATACAGTTTTATAAACGCTAATAAACCCAAGTTGTTCTCTATCGAATGTGTATTTATTTTTCACATATTTCTAAAGTTGAACAGTAACACTGCTTCTGTAGAAATAACATTTCATAAATGCATATAAACCCATGTTCTTCTCTATTAAATGTGTATTTTACTTTTCACATATTTTCGTGTTTTAAATGAAACACAGCTTCTGTAGAAATAACGTTTCATAAATACTCGTAAACACAAGTTCTTCTCTATGGAATGTTTATTTATTTTTTCACATTTCTCATGTCTAAAGTTGAAGCATACCGTCTGTAGAAATAAAGATCGATAAATTCACATAAAACCGAGGTTTTCTCTATCGAGTGTGTATAAATTTTTCACATATTTCTCCAGTCTTAAGAAGGAACACTGCTTATGAAGAAATAACGTTTCATAAATTCACATAAACCGATGTTTTCTCTATTGAATACATATCTTACTGTTCACATATTTTCGTGTTTTAAATGGAACACAGCCTCTGTAGAAATAACGTTTCATAAATTCACATAAACCGATGTTTTCTCTATCGAGTGTGTATAAATTTTTCACATATTTCTCCAGTCTTAAGAAGGAACACTGCTTATGAAGAAATAACGTTTCATAAATTCACATAAACCGATGTTTTCTCTATTAAATATATATCTTACTTTTCATATATTTTCATGTTTTAAATGGAACACAGCATCTGTAGAAATAACGTTTCATAAATACTCGTAAACACAAGTTCTTCTCTATTAAATGTGTATTTTACTTTTCACATATTTTTGAGTTTAGATGAAACAGCTTCTGTCGAAATAACGTTCACAATTTCTTCTCTGTCATACTTGCATTCATTTTTTGATTTTTAATTCATATCGTACTGAACCTTCACCAGTAAAA